AGAGTGACCCCTGGCAGCCCAGGGAATAGATAATGAGGAAGAGAGAAGTGTCTCACCACCATGTGGTTGATGGAAACCCAGCAGTCAGGAGGAAAGTCCTGGAGCATTGGGACCAGGAATTGTAGGCAGCCATCCCAGTGACACAACAGCAGCATCATCCCAATGAGATTGAAGATCCGAACCACAGCACTGGCCAGGTCATAGGTCATGTGAAAGATCTGGGGGAGGAGAGTGTGCAGGGGCTGTGGGCAGGGTCACTTCTCTCTTGGTCCCTGCCCCCTTCACAATTTTGCAAATATTTCTAGTTCTCATGTCCTTGCATTACCCCACTTAATTCCCCCCCCCCCCCCCCCCGCCCCTGCCCAATATATCCTACAGTTACTACTACAGGCATAGCCCTAGAGAGAGTGGTAAGATACCTTATAGCCCTTAATAAATGTGTACGAAAATGTTGAATTATCATCAGCCTTACAATGACTAAAAGGAGGGTAGAGGCAAGTGAAATATGTAAAGCATTTTGCAAACCCTAAAACACATATAAATGTTAACTATTATTCCTATTAGGAGAGAGGGAGACTCTTTGAGTCCACTCAGCATCTTCCACATTCTTATAGTCCCTTGATCTATCTCCCCTTTCTCTTACCTTGGTCTTCCCCTTTCTCTCCCTTAGATCTGACTTAGCTCCAAACACTTTTATAGCAGTAGTTTTGTACTATATACCATCAATCCAACCATGATATCATCATCTTCCTATAGTTCTATCTTCAGAAACTTTATCCCAGCCCTCTCTCTGGTAAGAACAATAACCCTAAAAACCCCCTCTCTCTTCTCCCCACACCTGATGATGTTATGCCCCAGAGACCCTACCTTTGAAACTCCACCCACTTCTCTAGTCCTTGAACTCTTTGTCCCCTAAGGGATGAGATAAATCCCACCCTGCCCACCTCCCCACCCCACCTCCTCCCATTGGTGGATGTATCGGATGAGGCGGGAGAGGCGGAGCAGCCGCAGAAGGCTGAGGATCTTGGTGAAACGGACAATTCGAAGGGCCCTGGCTGTCTTGTAAACCTCAGCATCTAATCGTGGTTCCAACTCCACCACGAGGAAGATGTAGTCCACTGGAATGGAGGAGATGAGATCCACTAAAAACCAGGTGCGGAGGTAGCGAGTTCGGATGGCTTGAGGAGCCAGGAGAATCTCTGCTCCTTCTTCCACCACAATCCCTGTCCTGAAGTTCAGCACCAGGTCCAGCAGGAAAAAGGTGTCGGAGAGGACATTGAAGACAATCCAGGGTGGGGAGTTTTCCTCCTTGAAAAAGGTGATGCCCACGGGGAGGACAATAAGATTCCCCACCATTAATAGTAGCATGATCAGGTCCCAGTAAAATCTAGTGGGAAAGGAAGAGGAGTGAGGACTCTAAGCACTCCTTTTCTACATGATCTACTTCTGTCTCATCCTCTTCTGTCTCCAGGTCTTTAATATTTTGTTCCCCTTTCTAGAGCCCCCCTAGTCTTCCCAGTCCTGTGGAATAATTCCTCTCTAGGACTGACTTTCCTGGGTATATTCTCTACATTCTATCGCTATCCATGCCAGTTGCATTAACCCCCTTTGTTTCTCTATCTTTGTGTCTTTAAGGTGGGAAAGGTGGTAGAGTTGTCCTATTTCCGCCGTAACAATGAATTCTTTTTTTTTTAAGGCAATTGGGGTTAAATGACTTGCCCAGAGTCACACAGCTAGTAAGTGTCAAGTGTTTGGTCTGAGGTCGGATTTGAACTCAGGTCCTCCTGACTTCAGGGCCAGTACTCTATCCACTGCGCCACCTAGCTGCCCCTCCGCCATAACAATGAAAAGTTTCCAAGGGCAAGGACAATATCTTTATGAAGAAATTTTCCATACCACCTTGGCCTCTCATCCTTTCTAACTCCTTCCATCCACTGATATTCCAGCTGAGTATGAGGCTGGACTGAGAGAGGAGAGATCAGGAATAAAAGGGAATGGAAACTCCCTTATCCAAAGGGAATTTTTTTTAATTGTCTGGGCTTTCCAGGGATGTGACCCAGTCCTAGGTATTTCCCACCTTCTAACTTCCAGACTTTCTTTCTATTCAAGGCAACCAAAAGGACCCTCAGCTTCTAGAAGCCACAATAAGAGAGACCAATTTGCATTTTGTTTGCAACTTATTTAGAAGTTCATTATGTTTTCCTCTCTCTATAATACCCACCCTAGCTCTTTCCCTTCACTCCTGCTTCTCTCCTCAATGCCTCTAATTATTTCACCATTCTATCATTCTTACTTGAAGACTCTTTAATTTGTTGGATTCCAGCCATTCAGTCCCTTTCTCTCCCTCCCACCTCAATGGTAAATGCCTTTTATATTTTAAAAGGAACAAAAAAACTGAGCCAGCTCTGCTATTCTGCCATGCTCTGTACCTTTCTTATCTCCTAAAGGACACCCAAGTTTGTACCAGAAGCTGGGAGAGGAGTGAGAGCACTTTCAAGCAAAATAGGATCTTCACAGCCTGAGTCACTCACAGGCAGTCACACGCCCAGCGGGTGATACATTGGGAAGGGTAAGGAGGGGCCAAACGGTTAGAAGTGAAGTGGAGGAGGGGGGTGAGGGGAACGATATACAGGCAACTGGAGGCAATACAAATGAATAGTGAAATTGCCGGTGGAGGAGAGGGGGGTAAGACACCGTAATGTGGTAACAGACAAGAAAAGTGCAGCTGTGGTATTAGCGAGGGCCCTGGCAGAAGAGGGAAGGGGAAGAAAGGAGTAGGGAGAACAAAGGAGGAGGGGTGGGAAGGGAATGTTTCAAGATTTAAAGCAAATCATGTGGTGAGTTTAAAAAAAATGGACATCCATTGTTACAATTGGGTCTAATGGCTCTGGACCCACTCCCAACCTTTATATCCTAAATTTAGGTGCTACTCCCAAATCCTTTCCCCATCCAAGAGCTGTGCTTTACTTTCCCCAAGGACAGGGACATCTTCCTCTTACAGCAATGTGGAGTTGGAGATCCAACCTCTAAAAATGGGTTAGAAGGTTTTTGACTGCTCAACCCCCCCTTAACCTTCCCGGGGCTCAGGGAAGCTACCGGAAGGTGTCCCTGACCCCCATGGCCAGCCTCCAACATTCATACTCTCCCTCTCCACCCCGCCCCCTAGAGCTCGCGCCACTCGCTTTCAGCACCAAGGACAGCGCCCAGAAGAGAGCTTTGATCATTCTAACTCTCCCATCAGCCTCATCCCATCTAGTGTCCCCAAGATTTCTCCTCCTAGCCCTGGAGTGGCTTCCTGTAGGTGAGAGGTCAAAAGGGTGAGAGCCTTGCCCATTTCTAGTGGCCCCCGGAAATCTCCCTCCTGATTTCCCTTGCCCCAAACACCAGGACTGGATACAACCCGGGGAATCCCCACCCTACTTGTTCTTTCTAGGACCGGAAGAACCCGTCGAGGGTGGAGCCGGGACCCCCAAGACCGGAAATACCTGCCCCCCACCAGCACCCCCAGCTGTCTTTCCCACAGCTGCAGCAATCCCAACGAAAACGGGACCAGCCCCCTCGAAAACAAGAAGTCTACACAATGGTGGGTGGTGGTGGTAGTGGTGGTGGTGGTGGTGGGGTGGGGGACAGGGTGTCTACTGATCCCAATCCTTGCCCACTTGGTGACCCTCCGCCGGCCCGGAAGTGACGTGTCCGTCAAGGATGGGCAGGGTCCGAGGCCCCCCGGGTATCCCTGGGACCTGCAGTATCTGATCGTCTGTCAGACGGGGCGGGGTCCCCTGGGTCCCCGGAGCCTCCCCGGGCCCGTGGTACCGGAAGTCGCTGTAGGGATGGATGATCCAGGCTCCGGCTGACTTGACCCGCTCCTGCTCTATCTCCACCGCCTTGTGGCTACCGAATACCCGGAGGGAGAACTTGTTGACGGCTGGCTGGAGGAGGGCCCCGAGCTGCCGCCGCATCGGCCCGGGCCCTAGTTCGGGCCCCGGAACGGGCGAGGGTCCTGGGACGGCGGTAGCCGGGCCGGGGGCAGGCGGGGGGGCCGCCTCCAGCCCCAGGGTGCCTCCGTCTCCTGCACCCGCCGTTGCTGCCGCGGGCCGCTGCTCAGAATCCATGGTGGCAGTCCCCCCCTTTCCCCTTCAAAGCCTCGGCCTCCCTGCCCCCAACAAGGCCATCGCGACCCCGACGCAGCCCCGGGAGCCAGAGCGGAGCTCTAGCCGAGCCTGAGCCGGAGCCGGAGCCGGCGGCGCAGCCCCGCGGGCTAGGAGCGGAGGCGGCGGGCGGGCGGCGGCTCCCAGCTGCCGGCGCTTGGGGCGAAGGGGGTGTGTGTGACGGGCGGGCGGGGAGCGGGGCGGAGACAGGGCTGGCAGCTGGAGGGGAGCGCACGCCCCCAGGCGGGAGCTGAAGGGAGTGGGGGGCGGGCCGCGTGGGAGGGCCGGGTCTCCACCTCCCAGAGGCAGAGTGGGGCGGGATCCAGTGCAGAGTCCGAGACCTGGGTCTTGTTACGATGTCCCGAGACAGCTGAATAAAGAGCGGGTCTGGGAGGCGTGGGGAGCTGCTCGAAGACCAAGGTTCTCTATTGGGGAGCGCGCTGGCAGGTCCTGGGCAGAAAAGGGAGAGCCGTGGAGGTATACTGCTCCCTCTGCAACTGTAGGCAATATCCTGGACCCCGACCTGAGACTACCGCCCTTTTTACGACCCTCCATCTTGCCCCTAGGTCTGTCTCCTGCTCCTGACTTTCCATCCTTCCCTTCGGACCCATCCTCCTGCCCATAATCCATCATTCCCTCACATGCTAGCTACTCTACTACTCCCCTACCTCTTGCTCGTAGGCTCACCTCTCTTGCCAAGGACCTTTGAGCCTTCTCAGCCCCTGATTGTCCTCTATCCATGAACTTATATGATTTAGTGGATAGTGTTGGACTTTGAGTCAGGAGGACCTGAGTTCAGATCCTGTTCAGGCACTCACTAGCTACTGACCCTGTGCAAGTCACTTAACCTGTCTCAATTTTCTCATCTGTAAAATGGAAGTAAAAATAGAACCTACTTCACAGGGTTGTTGTGAGGATCAAATGAAACAACATATGTAAAGCACTTTGCCAATCTTAAAGCTCTATATAAATGCTAGCTATTATCTATAGCTTCTTTCTTCTTGCCCATAACCTTCCCACCCTACTCCCAGCCCGTCTCCTCCTGTCTGTTATCCTCCACGTAGCCTTGCCTCCTCTCATCCCTGACACTAGGTGTGCATGTCAGCCCTATGCCCTCCTGCCCATTACTAGTCCTCCTTCCAATGATCCTCCACCGTATTCCCAAGTCCCCTGAGTCTTCTTTAGGTCCCACCCCACCACTCCATATTTAACCTTGCTTCAGCCCACTGCACTGGGAATCAGAGGTCCTGGGTTTGAATTCTGGATCTCCCACTTACTTTGTGACACAAGCAAGTAATTTCCCCTTTGTGGGTCTCAGTTTCTCCATCTTTAAAATAAGAGGGTTAGACCAAGGGCCTTTTCTGGTCTAATTCCTATGGTCAATTTCTGACCATTTTCCCTTATGCTTTTTCACTGGAACAATCCTCAGCCCACCCCATCAGATTTTATCTTTATCTCTTCCATATTTCAGGTTAATCTCAGTTCTCCTTCTGACATTTCCTCAATTCCTTCTATCCCATGCTTGACTTGATGCTCTTAAAAAAAATGTGACAGTCAACAAACACAAACATTTCAATATACAAAAAATGGAAAGGATTGCATATGAATCTATGAGCTTCTATGACATAGTGTAAGTTTTAAAAATATATGTAATAAAGTAGTAACTGACACTCCTTTTCTGAACTCCTATCTCCATGCTTCTTCTATTCCATCTTTGAGTCTTCCCACCCTAACTTCCACTTCCAACTGTCTTCAGTCTTCCCTTCTGTTCTCCCATTCTGTATCTGAGGCTTTATTTCTCAGTCCCCCAACCCTCCTCTCTCTAACAAGCCTCCTCTATGCTTTTCTGAGCTATGGTGGAGGGGTTTGCCCCATTGTTTCTCAGTGATACTTTCAGGCCCCAAATCTGCCATCTCATCCTTTCTCTTGACCCTCCCTCCTTTGTGCTTTGAGACTGAAGCCATTTACAGAACACTTATTGAATGTCCAGCACTGTTCTAGAAATGGTGGTGAATGGTAGAACCTTCTACCTAACTTCCTTAGGTCAGTAGATACTACACACATATTGGCAATGTGAGAGGGAACAGGATTAATGGGGTTGTAGAGATAGATCATCTGCCTCCAGCTTTTTTGGGAGCCTCCCAATGCCTGGTGTTCACTCTGTGAGGTGGAGAAAGTGAGAGTCCTTCCTACCCAATGAATAAACACTTATAATAAACACTGTGTGCCAGGGACTATGCTAAGCACTAGGATACACAGAGTCAAAAGACAGTCCTTACCCTCAAGGAGCTTGAAATTTAATGAAGGAGACAAGCAAACAAATATGTACCAATGAGCTATATACAGAATAAATAGGAAGTAAATGAGAGAGGGAAGGCATTAGAATTGAGGGGTTGGGAAAGGCTTCCAGTAGAAGATGGGATTTTAATTAGGATTTAAAGGAAATCAGAGAAAGCTAGTAGGCAGATATAAGGAAGAAGAGAATCCCACAGATTCTCTGCTAGAAGAGCCTTGTATCTATTACAGAGGTAGATGAGATTAAGAAGCAGGGGGCAATGTCACCAAAGCCTTTTTTTCTTTTTCAGTCAGTGCCTAGCACTGTGCTAAGTGCTGGGGATACAAGGAAAGGCAAAAATAAAACCCCTGCCCTTAAGGAGCTTACATTCTAATGGGGGGAGACAACATGGAGATAACTGTGTTTACAAGATATATACAATGTAAATTGGAGGTAATCTTTAAAAAATGGCATGGGGGTGGGGAACATCAGCAAAAGACCTCTTTGCAGAAGGTGATATTTGAGCTGAGTCTTGAAGCAAGCCAGGAATGTAATGGTGGAGATCATAAGGGAGAGCATTCCAGGAATGGGGGATAATCTGGTGGAAAGACATGAAAGTTGAACATAGGATGATTTCTATAGGCAGCCTGGCACAGTCTTGCAATACCTCATAAAGCAACTACTAGATGCAATGGATAAAGCACTGGACCAAGAGTCAGGAAGACCTGAATTCAAATCCAAATGGAGACCCTTATAAGCTATGTGACCCTAGGCAAGTCACTCCACTTGTTTGCCTCAGTTTTCTCTAAAATGGTGTAGTAATAGTACCTACAAGGGTTGTGAGGATCAAATGAGATTATTATAAAACGTTCAGCACAGTACCTGGCACATAAGTGCTATGTGAATGTTAGCTATTATAATTATTTCTATTATTATTATTTATTAGAGTCAGCTCTCCTGGCTCCACAGTCCTGATGTCTTGCCCTGCCAGCTCGCCCCCATCCTTCAGGGCTAGAGTGGAAGAGGCAAGATGGACAATGGTGCAGGAATTCTGTTCTGCTTTGACATCATGGCTTCTGGGATTCTCCTATCGGGACAGGTGAACCTTTTTAACAGACCCAGGCCTAAGAGAATAGTTGAGGGGTGAGTGAGTGGGCCTGGCTTTCCATTGACCTCTGTATACTTTCCTGGGATACCTGGACCTCTCACTTCTCTTTGGTTTATTTTTTAAGACATCTTTAATTTGTAAGTAAATAAAATAAAGATGTAAAAAATTAGTTTCAGCCATAGAAAAGAAGACATAGTGACTGCCCCTGAGAATCTTACAATCTCACTGGCTAGATAAGAAGTACCTCTTCTACCAGGCCTTGTTGAATCATATATATTCTCCAAAATCTGGAGAACATAAAGGGGAGCAAATCGTGTAGTGAAAGCACTGGACTTAAGAGTTAGAAAATCTGAGTTTAACTTCTGCTCCTGCAGTAGTGTGATCTTGGCTAACTCAAAACCTCTCTGGGATTCAGTTTCTTCATCTGTAAAATAGGGCAAACAACATTTGTACCTCTTTCACAGATTTGCTGTGAGCATCAAATGAAATAATGTATGTCAAGCATTCTATAAATTGTAACACTACATAAATGTAAGCTAGTATTATATAATTACATTGCTCCATCAGAGTAGTGACCGCGTCTTCACCTGAAATAGTGCTCTTAGCACCTGGTAAAGGCCAAACAAACGTCAAACTGAATTGAATAAGGGGCATCAGCGCCTGCACTCAACCTTCTCTATTTCGTCTCACTAAGAAATGTTTGTGGTACTCATGTAATGCTCGTGACATTGCCTTTCTAGACCCCCACTTGTATTCCTAAGCCGAGGCCTGAGAATCTGAGACAAAGCGGGAAAATGAAATTTGGTGATAAGAAAGCTTGGGGTTGTGCCCTCTTCTAGCACCGGTCCAGGCACGCTGACCTACATTCCTTATCTTCTATCCTACCCTGAGGATGATGCGGTTACACGGCAGGAAAGCGACGCTAACAAAGCCCTGCAAACAATCACACACGGTAGAAGTGGTAGGGGGTGACTGTTGCTCTTTCCCTGATAATCTTGGGGTGAGGGGTGGGAAAGAAGACATCCACTTCCACTTTGACTGGAGGAAAGCTAAGCCCACGACGGAGCTGCAGGATGGTAAATAGGGAGAGACAGAGGCACTTGACGCTCTGCCCTACACCCGGGACTAGCAACCGTAGCTGATTAGGATCTCAAAACACTTTCCAGGATCTTCCCAAGCCTCGGAGCAGAGGAGAAGGCTTCGGGGCAGGAGGGACGGCGAGAAGGAAAAGAAAGAGAGTAGGAGAGACGTGGCTGACGCCTCGGGTTCCAAGAGCTCCCTTCCATCACTCCCAACATTCCATTTCCTCCTCCTCGCCTCCTTCCTCGACGGGCGAGTTTCCGCGAGGAAACGTGAAGACGACGGTGACGTGCGCGACCCCGATGGGAGGAGTCAGAGGGAGCTGGGAAAGGACGCAGGACGTGTGTGCGTGCGTGCTCGCTCGCGGCGGCGGCGGCGGCGGCGGCGGCGGCGGCGGAGTGAAGCGGCCGGAGCCGGAGCCGTGGCCGGGACCAGGCCCGGGGTGGGAGGCGAGCTGCGGGCGGCGCGGAGGCGATAGATCCCGGGGGGCGGGAGAGGGCC